TCAGGTTAAGACAGACTAGGAAGAAGGATTGGCCATCCACTTCTGAAATAGCAGGCCTCTGAAAACCCTATGTACAACAGAACACATGTAGAATAACAGAAAGGGCAGCTGAGGTGGAGCTTTCAAGTATGGAAATACAAAGGAAGAGGAACCTGGTGATATAGTGCATTACAAATTGCATTGGTAACCCAAAGGTCAATGGTTTAAATACACTAGCTCCTCCAAAGCTGCTTTACTTTCATAAATGTTTTCAACCTTAGAAAACTGATTTGGCGCGTGCGCAGGGGTGGGGGGTCCCTATGAGTCAGAACCAATGGCACTGGGCTTGGATTTTGCAGTTAATGCAGCTCATCTTACTCGAAGACCAGCTACTTGAAAAGGAAACTGTTCTATGAAAGAATGGAGCCACCGTTTACTAGCAGTCATGCTTTTCAGCTGCAGGTCCAAGATTTAAATCTGATCCACAGTGTTTTCAGCCTAAAAACAATAGGAATGTTCAGCTTTGGCCTTTGGTAATGGGGAATTCCAGTGAAATAACTACTAGAAAAGCAGAAGCAGCTTACATTTTAATACTCTAGAGTCTAAAAGACTCTAATTTCTGTGAGAGGGTCTCCTTGGACCCTGAGGTATTTGATGCATTGAACTGAAATAGCAGATCAATTATAATTTCTTTTTACACTGGACATGTTCATGCTAGTTTGAGGTTATAGCAAACAGAAATAAATGTGGGAGGAGGCTCCCTCTAGCGGGTACTTTAAGGGGCAGTTCTTAAGAAGAGGCAGCACTTTCGTGAGTCATGGGCTGCTAGGCTGAAGTGATGCCCCAGCTACTTCCTTCCCAGGTGCAAAAGTCTGGGCTACTGCCCCCATCTGCAACCCATTGGCTGATTTCAGTGGACCTGACTCAAGAAGGGACAGGAGTCCAGGTTGAGCCCAGTGTCCTCTTCCAGAGTTTAATTTTCCTGTGAGAACAGCAGTCAGTGTGACCTACAGAGCTACTAGAACCCAAAAGGACAGTTACCACTAGTACACCGTTGGTGATGAGGGCCTCAGATGCAGAGGGTCTGAAAAACAAAATGAGCGCTCTGGTCAGAGATAGCATTCTTGACTGATTTCCAACAAAGATAGTAAGAGCACAAATTGGTCAAGGGTACCTACAGCTTTCTGGCTCCTCCTGAAAAAATATTGGCATGCAGACTTGTGAAGAAGAAAACTTACACTCATTTTAAATAGATTTCTAGATAAAGGGGTAGAGATTTCTCTCTATCTCTCTCTCCCCCCCCTTCTAATTCACCCAAGAAACTGATTTCTAAAAATTTTGTCAAATCAAGAATTGAAAGAGAGAGCTCCAGACTGGCTTCACTGTAAAACAAAATTGATCTTAGTTTAGTCAGCTGGGATGGGAAATGAGGCACCTCAACTCATTTCAAGAGCTCCTCGGCACCAGATTCTCCCAGTGGGATTTGGGAGCCCTCTTGCTCTATCTTCTACCACCCACCCTCTTGTCCTCCAGGTCAGTCAGAGTTCAGAGGGGTCTGGCCTCCAGGGTGAAGAAGGAAGAGAGGCTGGTGGTTCAAGTACAGGGCACACTGCCTTCCTTCATGTCTTTCCCTCCTTCTGTCTTTGTCCTCTTACTTCCCACCCTCTGCCTCTATGACCTAATTCTTTAGTTCTCAGCACAGTCATGCCTCTGTGACTCTAATTTTAAGTGATAGAGTTATGATCCTAATTTTAATAACTTCCTGGTCAGACCTGACTTAATCCAAAGGCAGCTAGTTGTAGATGGGGACAGCCTCTGTTTTAGACCAAGGGGTTTTTTTGGAGGCGGGCTAACTCCTAACAATTCTGGCTCAGGGTCAAGACATCTTTTCTCAGCTGGGTCTTGCTGAAATCCCCATCACCAAAGTGGCAGGACTTTTTCCCAGAGGTCACCTCAGGGGAGTAGGGGAACTGAGGCGGGCTAATTAGCCTGAGCCATAGTCCTCATCCTGACTGCACATTATAATCACCTGAGGGGAGATTTTAAAGAAATATCAATGTCAGCAGAGCTGGATGGCTAGGGGCACAGCTCCAGCACCCTACAGCTTTAGAAGCTCTTGACACACAGCTTAGGGTGCAGGGTTAGTGCAGGGGAAGAGAGCAGATGAAACTACTTGTAGGCCATAGCCTGATCAGAGCTCTGTGGGCCTGGGGGCTACTCACCTCTCTTCCAGCAGGAATTCCACCTCCAGCTCCTCCATGCCCTGGCAGAGGAGGAAGGGAAAGCACACAGTAATACAGAGGTCTCATGCTCTACTCCGCTAGTTTACCTGATGATAACATACCGTATAATTAATGTTGCTGGTTGCAGCTCATTTGACTCTAACCCATAACAACTCTGTGTGCAAGAGAATGTTACCTCAAGCAATCCTGTTCCATCCTTACAATGTCGGTTATGCTTAAGCTTACGGTTGCAACTATGAACAACAGTTCTGAACCCTGTCCTACCCTGTGCCATCCTCATCGTCTCTGACACACACACGAGCCCATTGCTGCAGTCACTGTGCCAACCTATCTTGTTAAGGGACTTCTCTTCTTTTGCTGACCCTTCATCTTTCCAAGCATGGTATCACTTTCCAAGTAATCGCCTTTCCTAGTAACATTCCCAAAGTATTGAGAGATGAAGCTTCACCATCCTTGCCTCCGGGGAGTGTTCTGGCTACACTTTTCCCAAGACTTAACCCGTTTGTTCTTTTGACAGTCCATGGGATATTCAGTACTCTCTTCCCACACTACAACTCAGAGACATCAATTCTTCTTCTGTCATCCTTAGTCATTGTGGAGGTTTCAGATGCATAGCAAGTAATTAAAAAGACTATGGCCTGAATCAGGCACACCATAGTTTTCAAACTAACATCGTTGCTCCAGAGCTTTGGAGAGGTATGCCTGACAGCCAACTCACCCAAAGCAATATATCTCTCTTGATCTCCTCACTGCTGGGACTAAGAATGTTGATTGTGGATCCAACCAAGATGAAAATGTGAACAATTTAAGGATTTTCTCCATTTATCATGATGTTGCTTACTGGTCCAGAGGTGAGGGGTTTGTTTTTTGGTTTTTTTCTTCTTCTTGATGTTCAGATGCAGTCCATATTTTGAAAGCTGTAGTTTTTTACCTTCTGCAGAAAACATTTTAAGTCCTTCTCACTTTAAGCAAGCAAGGCTGTGTCATCAGAATACCACAGGTTGTTGATGAGTCTTCCTCTTGATGCCACATTTGTCTTCGTAAAGTGCAGCTTCTTGAATGATTTGCTCAGCATACAGACTAAGTATGGAGAAATGACACAACTCTGATGTACTTCTTTCCTAATTTTAAACCATGCAGTGTTTCCTTGCTCTTTTTGTTTCTTGGTTGAGGTGTAGATTTTGTATAAACATAATTAGATGTCCTGGAATCCCCAATCTTCTCAAGGTTAGCCATAGTTTGTTAAGATCCACACAATCAAATGCCTTTGCATAGTCAATAAAGCCTAAATAGACATTCTAAGTCATAGCTATCATATAAGACAGAGTAGAACTGTCCCTCAGATTTCCACAGCTGTAAATCTTTACATTTTCTTCCTGCAAAGAGTTGGTGGATTCAAACACTGACCATTTAGTTATCAGCTAAGAACTTTAACTACTGTACCACTGTTGTTATTAAGGGCTGTTAAGATGACCATCACTCATTGAAACCTTGTGAACAAACCTTGTGATCAAAACCTTGCCCTTCACCATTCCTCAAACTCTCATTGCTGTCAAGTTTGAACTGATTCATAGCTGACCTTCAGTGAGTTTCAGAAGCTGTAAGGTACTTGGGAGGAGTTTGTCTTTCTTCCTTCCATGGAGCTGCTGGTGGATTTGAACTATCAGAGAGATGCTGCCTTTGGATTAGCAGTGCTACTCCCTATGCACTACAACTCCAGAATTCCTCTTGTTTGATATTGAGTCAGAACTGCCTCATAGCTGACCTTCTAGAAGGTTTCCAGAGGCTTTAAATCCTACAGGAGGAGACTGTCCATCTTTCTCCTCTGGAGTAGCTGGTGGATTCAAACGTCATGCATTAGAGTCAGTAGAGCAACTTCATACCATTAGGCCACCAGAGTTCTATTAGCCATTTAAAAAACTCTCAAAACCTCAGACTCATTGCTGTGTAATGGGAACTGACTCATAGCTGATTTTCTAGTAGATTGTCAGAGGCTGTAGATTGCACAGCAGGATATTTTTCCATCCTTAATTTAAGCCAAAAACCTATTTTGTGTTGTTGTTGTCTGCCATAGAGTTGGATCTGACCCATAGCTGACCCTCCAGTGGGTTTTCAGAGGCTGTTAATTGCACAGGAGGAGCTCACCCGTTCATTCCCTACAGAGCAGCTGGTGGCCTTGAACTGTGAGATTGAAGAGCAGTTTCTTGTCACTAGGCCACTAGAGCTCCTTAGGAAAGGGAAACTCAGAGGAGTGAAATAATTTTTAGAGGCCACACAGCTAGTAAGCAAAGGAACTGGGATTTGAACCACCAGCACCAGCTTTCCCTACTTGGCTGTGTCCCAGAGGGAGCCTGCCAAATGGAATTTTAGGAATAACCTAAAATCTGCTGCAGGACTGGGACTTTGCACTCACCTCTGGGTTGAGGGGGAACTTCACGTGGGTTTTCTTTCGGAAGTAGAGCTTGGTGAGGTCATAGAGAACTGTCAAGAGCTGGTCATCTGGTGTCACTGTGTCTTCATCACACACACTTAACTCTAAAACATTCTGGGAAAAGGATAACATGTGTTACCATGGTTGCATTGTACTATTGCCAGGACAAAGCATCAGATCCCAGTCCTAGTGAGGAGGCGAATCTGAGGGTTGGAAGACGAGGACAGAAGCCTCTGCTCAGATGGGAGCAACATTTATTGCAATATAAGAGACAGAGGGCCTATTTCCTCAGTTCAACTTTTGAAATTATTCTGTGCCTCTGCTCTGGCTCTCCTCCTGGATATTTCTGCCTTCTATAGCCTTGATGGACACCTGTAAAATGTGGAAGGATTTAATTTCACCTAAAGTATGGATGACAAGTACAGGACAGGCAAGCGTCCACCAAAACAGGGATGCTATCCATTAGAGAGACCCGAGAGCTGAAGGATGGCACTTTGGTGCTGGAAAATCCATATCAGAGAAATGAAATCTTAACAGTCCAGCACAGTGGTGTGGCAGAGATTGGAAGTGTTCTGATACTTGAAGCCTTGGGGTATTATGTTTGAACTACCCTAAAAGCAAAGCATCTAGAGTTTATGAGGTCAATTCCCAGGTTTGTCAGATGATAGTTCTCTACACATGTTTATATATGCTATAAATAGTTCCTCAAATATGGTAGAACCAACAGGTAGCAAGGTTAAGTAAACTTTTTAATCATAATCAATCACCTAAGGGAATGATTTGCTGTCTTGGGGCCTGAGGGTCAAGCCCTTGGGGAACATTAAGACTATTTAGCATAACACAGTGTTGGTGCTGTTGTTATGTGCTGTCCAGTCACCTTACCCTATGCGCAACAGCTCTGAACCTTGCCCTATCCTGAGCCAGTCTCATTGACTCCAACATACCTAGTCCCAGTGCCCTAGTCACTATACCACTCCATCTCATCCAGGGTTTTCCTCTCCTGTGCTGTCCTTCCACCCTTATGAGCATGATGTCCTTCTCCAAAGGACTAGTCCTTCTTGGCCACATGCCCAGATTATGTGAGACAAAGCTTCAAAATGCTAGCCTCCAAGGAGAAACTTGATTTCATTCTCTCCAAGACACACTTATTTGTCTTCTTGTGGTATGTTCAAGATTCTTCTCCAGCACCACAACTCAAAGTTATGGATTCTTCTTCAGCTCTGATGCATAGCAAGTAATTGCGAAGACAATGGTCTGGATTATGAACACCTTAGTCTCTAGACTGATATTTTTGCTTTTCAGTACTTTGGAGAGGTACCTGACAGCAGATTTTCCCAATGCAATTTGTCTTTTGATTTTTCTGACTACTGGTACCAAGAGTGTTGATTGTGGATCTGAGCAAGCTACAACTGTTAACAATCTCAATCTCTTCTCCATCTATCATGGTGCTGCCAATTGGTCCAGTGGTGAGAATCTTTGTTTTCTTGATGTTGAGCTTCAATCCACATTGAAGGCTGCCGTTTTTGAGGTTCTTCAGCAAGCACTTCAGGTCCACCTCACTTTCAGCAAGCAAAGTTTTGTCATCTGCATAATATAGGTTGTTGATGAGTCTTCCTCTAGTCTTGATGCCATGTTCCTCCTCATAAAGCCCAGCCTCCAGAATGATCTGGTCTATAGATAGATTGAGAAAGAATGGAGAGCCTCCCCCTCCTTTCTCTTGGGCTTAGATCAGGCACCAGCCAGGTTCTATCGCTTAGCCATGGCCAAAATCAAGTCTCAGGACCTTCGTGGCAAGAAGAAGGAGGGGCTGTTGAAACAGCTGGATGATCTAAAAGTGGAGCTTTCCCGGCTGCTCATAGCCAAAGTGACTGGCAGTGCAGCTTCTAAGCTCTCCAAAATCTGAGCTGTCCAAAAATCCATTGCTCATGTTCTCACTGTTATTAACCAGACTCAGAAGGAGAACCTCAGAAAATACTATAAGGGCAGGAAGTACAAACCCCTGGATCTGTGGCCCAAGAAAACACATGCCATACGCCAAAGGCTCAACAAGCAAAAGGAGAACATGAAGACTAAGAAATAGCAGTGAAAAAAGCTCCTGTACCACTGCAGAAATACACAGTCAAGGCCTGAACTTAAACAAATAAAACACAAATCTAAAAAAAAAAAAAAAAAAAAAAAACAAAGTGAACCTCTTTACCACTCCTAGCACCATCCCTTCTAAAGAAGAA